AGACAGGCTGCCATTTGGCGGGGACCGCAAGGCCAGCATCTTTCTAGAGCTCATTGTATTGAGGTTACAACGAGCTTTGCCACTAGTATCTATATAATGTGAAACTTAAAAACATTGAAGTTTATTGCTGTGCAGACCCACATCTTGTATCTGTGCAGGCATGCTGTAGTAGAAGCTTCCAAGGCTTTCCAGAGCTCTAGAGCAGGGGTGGCCGAACTGTAGCTCGGGATCCGCATGCGGCTCTTTCACACATATTGTGTGGCTCCCTGCAGGGCAGCTGGGGAAGCTAAATATCATTAGCAAACAAATATCATTGGACAAATAAATATCATTATCAATATCTGCTTTTACCACTTTTGTTATTATTTTTGGCAGTCTCATTTAATGTTAATAAAAAACAAATTTGCATATATCCCAGTAAAAATGTGTAATATTTGTTCATGTCTTGCAGCTCTCAAACATCTGAGATTTATTCTATGTGGCTCTTATGTTAAGCATGTTTGGCCACCCCTGCTGTAGAGGGTGCTATCCCCTTCTACTGGCTTTCCAGCCCAAATGATCACATGGTAGGAGGGGAGAGTGCCTGTCTCCTCTATCCCCTGCAGAGAGAGGAGCTTATGGATTTTACTGGTGTTTCTTTCTGGCTGAATCACCTTTTTTCACCCTAGATAGCTTCATGAATTCACAGGTGTGAGTCAAAATGGCTCAAAGGGCATTTTTTAAGAAGTGTAGCCAGTCTGATATTAAGATGGCTCAAACTGATGGCCATTCCTATTGCCTGTTATACCATGGTGAAGACCATAATACATCCACTTGCTCTATAGGCAACCAGTTCACCCCAAACACCAGACATGATACAGCTTCTCACCTGAAGGCAGCATGTCTCTATAGGCTCTGAAAACCACTAATCCTATTGTCCAAGCCTTACAACCTGAGTCTGTCAGACAGGTGGTATTTTCTGTGCTACAGAATCTACTAAACTTGCCAGTTGAACAGTCGCAGAAGCCTGCTATGACAGCCCCGTCCTCTTCCCTCTCTCAGAGGCATGATTTTCCCTCTGTTTTTCTTTCCATTTTGTGACTGAGCTGCCCTAGTAATGTATTGTCTTCTTTGCTGAAGAACTCTGGCTGTCCCACCCTGTCACAGTACAATATTTTGGCTGTTGGCTTAGCCCAGGAACCTGAGGGGAGGGTCAGGATCGCCCTTTAACTTAAACGACTTAAATGACACTTGAGGTGTTTTGAAATTCAAAAATAACAAAATGCTTTATGTAACATAAAGGGGAAAGATTAGGTGAAATCAGGGGTTGAAATCTCTGGGGTAAAACCAATACATGCACAGACTTTAGTTCTTATGTTTCATGCTACTGAGAGTTTCTTAAGCTATTCATTTTTTTAATAGTTTATTTATCATTTTTTCATTACAAACAAAAAACAAAAAGAAAAATATACATAGTATTTATTTATTTCATTTATACCCCGCCCTCCCTGCACGCGGGCTCAGGGCGGCTTACATAGTATATAAAAATCACTTTTTTGGAGTTTACATTAAACACTTTTCTCAATCCATTTGTTAACTTTTTGCCATCTTTTTTGAAACACATTTTCATCTTTCCCTGACAATATCATATTTACTTTGTCCATTTCCTTTATTTCAAGGATTTTCATAGTTAACTCTTCTAGATTTGGTATTTTATCAGTTTTCCAATACTTCGCAACGAGGATTCTAGATATAGTAAGGATATATAGTATAATGCATAGATCATCACATTTAATTCCATCTGGTATTATATTAAGCAGATAGATTTCTGGTAACAACTGTAATTCTATATTGGTAATCTCTATTATTAATTGTTTTATACTTTTCCAAAATTTACAAATCTTCTCACATCTCCACCATATATGATAGTATGTTCCAATGTTATTTTTACATCTCCAACAATTTCCTGAAACATTCTTATAACATTTAGATACTTTATCAGGTGACCAGTGTCATCTGTAAAACATTTTAAATATATTTTCTTTGTATGACGTAGCTCTTAATAATTTAACAGATTTCCATCCCATTTCTGCAGCTTTATAATACAGATACCAGTCTGGAAATCCAAGTCCTCCTCTTTCTTTCTTGTCACGGAGAAATTTCAAAGAAGACTGGTACACTCTTTCCAGTACCCAAAACCCCTTATCTTGAAACACCAGTACTCGTCTAGTTTTTAACTGACTCTTAAGGTTTCTACAAGCAGTGTCTAACCACACCAGACCAGGAATCTCTGCACTCTTCAGAGCTAACTCCCTGTTTGACTGGGTAGGGAATTTTCTTCTTTCTCTAGATCTATCCCCTTTCCTTGGCCCGAATGGGAGTCTCCGTCTAACTACCCACTTCTCCTTGCCAACTTTCCCCAGTTCTACTGTATGTGTTAAACTGCTCTCAGTCAGGGTTGAATTCCAAAACTGTCAGTACTTGAATCTTCTCAGCTAGGGCTGAAATCAGTTCTCATCAGTATCCAGTTCAGCTCAACTGATGCTAACCAATCAGATTGCTTGGAGCAGCCTGTCACTCAAGACTCTCTGGCTCTGTGAAGAATCAACCCTTCACAGTCCTTTATCTGTTTACACAGCACTTCAAACTTTTAAAAATGCAGTCCATAACACCTGCCTCCCTGTCATCCTCCACTTGAAAGGTTGAATTTTTGTAGAGGGTTGAGGAGCACAGTTGCAAGTTCTTCTTCTCCCACACAAGAACGAACTCTCTTGTTGTGGAATCCACCCATAATAAGCAAAAAGCATGCTATCATTTAGCCCCCATAAATAAGGAGGGACACAAATTGGGTAGTTTGGATAGGAAGGTATATTCTTGAGCTTCTTCTGTCTTACTCACAGTAGCCAGCTAGTATTATTTATTGTATGGCAGAGTTACATCCAGGAAGCATCTAATAATATAAAATTCAGAACCAAGTTGATACAGCAGGTATGCAGACCAATTGGGCAATCTGCCTAAATACTAATATCTAAATTTACGGTCCATTCAGTTGCAGCTGGAGAGAGTTCAAAGAGCTCTGTCAGATCTCCCTGGAAAGCAGGCAGTAATCTCACATTCCTGTGACAGATGGAAAATAGGTTGGCAGGCTGCACCACAATTGCATTCCGGTCCTGGTATTTTGTCCCATTTAAACAACAGGTCTGCATAGCTGGCAAAACCTATTTTTATTCTGTTAGCCTTCTTCCATACTTTATGTGGCAAGTCAAATCTTGCAGGCCTCTCATTGGTGTTTATTAGGTTATAGATATCTGGTGGAAATTATTCCATCCATGTTCGCTAGGGTTGCCAAGTCTTCTTACCTTGGCAGCGGGGGAGCCTCGCCGGGCTCCGGGAGCTTCTTGGTGGTGCTATGTCGCTCACGTTGAGGGCATGGCCCAGATCGTCAGAGGGAAAACCATAGAGTTTTCCCTTTGACGATCTGAGCCATGCCCCCAACATGAGTGACGTGGCTGCGTCACCTCTGGTGATGCAACCACGCTGCGCTTCAGGAGGGTGGAGTTCCCCCCGGGGCCCGATTCCGCGGCGGCGGAAATCAGGCCTCCAAAGCGGGGGTTTCCCCGCCCCCACTTGGCAGCCCTAATGTTCGCAACCATTCATTCCCTAGATTGAAATTTTGTGATTGCAGGATTTATGCAGATCTTATTGCTGGGTGTTGGGATCTTAGTCTGGTAGGCCCAAATCAGCCATGTCTTTGTGGGCATGCAACTCCCTGTTTTCAATTATCTTTCTATATTCACAAAGAATAGCATCTTGTCTTCAGAGATGCAGGGGAGCGATGTGGCACAATATCGGTATTCAATAGGCCAGAGTGGGTTTAATACATCCACTGATACATCCACTGATGGTTCTCATTGTTTTATTGAGTTGGATGTCAAGTTTGTGAACATGGAGGTTGTTGAGCCACACTGAAGCACCGTATGGATGCAATTCTAGTTTGTCTCCTTGTGGTGCACCCTGAATAACACTAAAGAGCTAAAACTTCTGGCTATGCTCCAGGTACAGGTCAGGTAAGGTTTTTATCATACCCAGGGTCAATTTCAGCAGGCTGCAACCTACAAATTACAGTTCACCTTTCAGTAGCAGCATAGTAAGGGGTATTACTCCAAACAAAGGCCTAAAGGCATATCTCAATCTCCTAACAGGTGTCAGCCTCTCCAGAAGCAGCCCTTCTGACTACTTCCCTTATCCAGGGATGGGGCACTAGAGAAACCATTCCATAACAGGTTGTGCCATTTTTGTCAGCCTGATCTTCTCTCACTATGGATAGCTGGGATATTTCTGAAAGTTGTCTACCCGCTCGTTCCATATGTCCTACAGTGCCTTTTCAGTTGCCTCCACAATGCTTGCTGGATCAGGTTGAAACCTTGTGAGTTAAATGTGTGATTGAACCAGTTCTGCCCTTACAGCAAGAATCTATTTTCTATTATGGGTTTTTCTTGGTTCCTGAAAGGGGTGGTGGCTCTCGGACTGTTTTGAATTTTAGAAACCTAAATGTTTTCCTAACAGTTTTGACATTTTGAACAGTTTCCTTGACTGAAGTTTTGCTGTTGTTACATATAAATATGTGGTTTGCTGTTTTGGGAATCTTAAAGCTGCATATTTTCTTTTGTTCCTGATCCTAAATCCACATGTCAAATTAGCGTTGAGGATTCTTGATAATTTTGACCTCATGGTTAGTTGGGACTAGTCCTCCTTGTCCTTCACACAATGCATAGTCTTCATTGGGCTAGTGTTGGATTTCCCTCCTATTATATTACCATTTTGACAGGGAGAGTACTTTCTAGGGCTTTAGAAAGCTTTGGAAGCTTCTACCGGGCAGGCCAGCGCATGTCCCAGATAGGTGACTGCAATGTAGATCACTTGATGAACAATATTTACAAGTGGATGCAACTCTTTTTCATGCATGTTACTTTTTAAATTTTGATTTTTTTCATGTATATTGTTATTGCTTTTTTTTTAAGGTTGTTTGATCATTCCATGGAAGGGTTCAAAAACTGGGATTTCATGACTACTCATTGCTGGGGTGAAAAAGCAGCTGGTGACTGGATCTTAGAAATTTATGATACCCCATCACAGCTGAGAAACGTCAAAACTCCAGGTATGAATCCTGTCATTCTTTCCCTTACAGATTTTATATGGGCAAAACATATCTTAGGGAGCAAGGAGGAACATATGGGAGATAACATTATGTGAAATGCATATAAAATTGTTCACAGACACTTGAATTGGATTTGGAAACAAATAGGCAACCAGTTTAATTAAGCCAGAAGTCTTGTTTTCCATTCTCTATGAGTTGTCCTTGTCAGGTGGCTTTAGAATTTTGCACTACCTGCTGTTTTTGATGGTAATTAAGGCAAAAATGATGTTTGCTAAATTCTAAATCAAAGTAAAAGCACTTGATAATACTGCTATCTGTGCATCAAGCAGCACTACAGGATCCAGGTGTACACCCAAATGATGCACCTGCTAGTTCACGGTGACTGAGAACCCTATCAGTACAGGTGAAACTACTACCATTTCTAGGTCAGCCAGCCATCAGCTCTTCTGTCATTAGAAGTTTTAATTTATTAACCATCATCCAGCCCATAATAGAACCCACATATTCACATTCAGGGATTCTACTGCTGCTTACAGATTTGATGGGTGTTCTCAAAATACTAATGCTTCTGTACTTCAAAGCTTCAGGCATTTCTCTCGAGCAGTTGCATATGATGTATTAAAAGAGCAGAAGGGAGAAGTGCTCTACCACTTCAGAAACACAGAGGAAAAACAGTAGTCATCTAATGCTGCCCTTTGGTATCCATTAGTAAGACAGGCATATAATCACTTCAAAACAGTGCTTCTAACTCCTAACCATCCAAAACAATGCAGAAGAATGTGACAGTCACTTCTGTAAAGTGCTACTGAGCAAGGCAGAAGTACAAACAAGATCAATCTCTCTTCAGCTATTTCCAGGCATAGATCATCTATTAGGATGGTCCACTAAAGTGGTACCTATCCCAAACCTTGTCCTTCACCCTGATTGGTTTGGTGGAGCTGACCCATAACCAGTGTTCCCTCTAAGCTGTGTAAGCAACCACTCGTTAACACAGAAAGCCCCACTCTGCCACAATCTGAACCTGCACAGGGTCTTGCACTGCCCATTGCCCATTTTAAGATTGCAGCAGTTATAATCTGCTCAGGATGTGAACTGCTCTGCTTAGTAGGGGGGAAAAATAGGGTGAACATTGCCCATAGCCATCTTTTCCATTACCTTGTTGGAAAATGGTAAATTATCTCATGTCCTATACTTTTTCAGCAATGCTGTATTAAATGGTAATTTCTTTAGGAATGGCCAGATAATGGCCAATACCACTGACATCACACCCTTCTCCAATGACATATTAACAATATTTGCAGCAAACAGGCTCAGTAGTGGTCTACAGGTTTTAACCCACACAGTTAATATTCATGGGAAAGAACTCAAAACCTGTGGAAACAATGGCTTGGATCCACAATAGAGGTTTTTTGTGAGTACAAGGATTTCCATCTGTGTCTTTCATGCCTCCCTAACCCTCTCCTGTAGCATCCCCAAATTCATTAGACTGGTGAGCCAAATTTTGAAAAGAAAAGCTTGTACCAACAATAATATCTCCCATGGCATTTTGAAAACTAATTCATGTTGCTTAGCCATGTTAGTTTGTAGCAGCGAAACAAAATAGGAAGTCAGTGGCATCTTAGGCATTAATAAAATTTATTCCACCATAAGATTTCATGAGTCAGAGATCACTTCAACAGCTGCATTTGAACGGCTATATCACTGGACATGTTCTACTTCAAATATGAATTTGCTCTATCTACTAGGAGCATGTCATTGTCATTGGTCCTCTACCCCTGCAGGGTTTGGGAGTACCACAAATCCATGCCCTGATGTATGAATTGGGTACACTAAAGGTATAGAAGTACCCAGCAGACATCAAATTAAATGCATGATCAGCATTTCTGAAGTTGTTGACATACTTGGAAAGCATAACAGTTGCTATAGTGGCCATGAAGCCTTGAGCCATGCCCAACAAGGCGGCCCTCATATAGATGCTAAAATCTTCCAGATAACAGTAGCCTGGGAAACTGCAAAACTATCTGTGAAGTGGTCTCCACAAGCTGAACCAAGAAGCTTGGATATATTTGTATTTAATTATTTATCACTTGGTTATTCATAGCTAATGTGTGAATTGTCTACATTGAAAAATACTGAGTTTGATACAGAACGTCTGTTTGTGGATGCTCTGTGATGATCCTTTGACTCATGGAAATCATTGTATGATGTTGCAGTCCATGAAGTGTATGGGTGAACATGGGCTTTTTTATCTCCATGTCCCCATCATTCCTTGTCACCAGTGTTCCCTCTAAGCTGAGTTAGTGTGAACTGGCTCACAGTTTTTTCGCCTCCAACTCACACATTTTTTTTAGCACAGGAAGGATGGCTCCAGAGCAAACTAATGTATGCAGCAGCCAAATCACTCACTCACAACTTTAATGCCAGTAGCTCACAAAGTAGAATTTTTGCTCACAAGACTCCACAGCTTAGAGGGACCATGGCTTGTCACTAAGAAGAAATTATGTTTAGGTCTTAGAAGACCTCAGAAGCTAAGCAGAGCTGGCCCTGGTTAGTATTTGGATGGGAGACGACCTCCAAGGAATATCAGGGTCATGAAACAGAGGCTGGCGATGGCAAGCCATCTCTGAACTTCCCTTGCTTTCAAGCCTCACTAGGGGTTGCCAGAATATTTCTACATTATTTATAATTTTATTGCAGTATCTCATTAGTTTTTTCTCCCCACTATCCACACTGCAGCATGAAGTGTTATTACTATTTTGTGAGACTAGGACACGGGATTAGTTATAATGGGTTGAGTCCAGACTTAATTTTCTGCTGACAAAAGGCTTTTGTGTCAGTAGAATAGAAATTTCCTGATCCCCCCTTTCCACTGCAGCCCATTAATCTCCCAAAAATGCTGCTCCTGGGGGACAGGAGCCTCAGGAATGGTATGGGGAGCCTGCACCAGGGGAGTCTGCACCAGGAAGGGAAAACTGGCACAAATTATTTTTTTCCTTCTATTAGCATAAAATTTTGCCTGGATCCAACCAGTGTTTTTATTGTTCTCAGCAATAACTCACACTATGTCAAGCTCAGGCCTCGCTTGCCATAGAATGCTGTCCAGGCAAACTCCTGGTCTGTTGCATTAGAGGTTAACTGCTTTCTTAAAGATGCTTTTTTCACTGTTTTATCTCCCATGCCATTTATCGTCTCTGCCAGGATGGGGGGGAGTGACTGCTGGGGTGAATGTGTGCTTGAGCTTGTGTAGTATGTATGCCCCCCTGGGAAGTGCATGATCTCAGCTTCTCGCCTGACCTTGGGATATAATTGTTAGTTTGCAGGTGTTGGGCAGGCCCAGAGGGTAAGCCTAGAGCTTTGGCGGGCTGAGTGCGAACATTGATTGGGTGGTTTGCATAGAGGGGCTGTCCTGCTTTTTGTATAGGGTTGGACCTGGCCTCCAGTGGCCAGTTCTGACAAAGAATCAGTCTATGCTTAGAATCTCTTTACCTCCCAGTAAACAAATCTTGCTGCAACAAGAGTGTCGTGAGAGTGATTGAGTCTAGGACTTGACATAGTGTCAGAACTACCTTTCTCTCTCAACCTGGCACACCACTGACGTGATAAGCGCTGGAAGCAAGGAGACTGAAACAGAGACCCTCCCAAAGTCACCCGAGGGCCCTGATGTGAAGCCAAAGAGCTAACAAGCAGAGATGGGACGGTAGGATGCCCCAGACTGGGCTACCCCCCTACCTTGGAGCAACAAAAGCCTGGCAGTGGTGGGCGGTTGATGAGTGACACGGGGTCTTGGAAGTGTTCCAGGATGACCCCGAGCACCTGAAGGCCATGAGATATCGGCTGGAGGATGAGGACATAGAGCTCGCCCAGCAGGAGCTGAGGACTGAAATGGCAGAGCTGCGCAGAGACACCCAGGCTGCTTTGTACAGCCTCCCCAATGCCATTCACCACGTTATGCATCAGGAGCTCTGGGGTTTGGGACTGCAACAGGGGGAAGGAGCTGCTCCAGCTCCATGGGTCGAAGGGGCACCACCAGTTGCCCCCTCATGCCCAGTTCCTACACCCCTCAGGGATGCACTAGAAGCTACTTTTGATGGGATCCCGGGGATACTAGCATAGAGGGGCTGTCCTGCTTTTTGTATAGGGTCGGACCTGGCATCCGGTGGCCAGTTCTGATGCAGAATCGGTCTATGCTCTTGCTGCAACAAGAGTGTCACGAGAATAATTGAGTCCAGGAGTTGACACACTACATCTTCCAGGTTATTGATGATACAACCGGAACAGAAAATAGAGACAGGTACAGTATTTGGCACACATCACTTTTCCAATATGTCTCTCCTAGGTAAATTGAAAGAATGGTCTTTAGTACTTTACGGGACATCCACCCAGCCTTACTCCCAAAGAAATGATTTCCCAAAAGCTGAACGGGTACGCTCAAGTCCAATAGAAGACCCAACCGAAGATTATGGGACAGATGATTATGCAGGTAAGAATGAACAGTATTTTCCAAAGTATTCACTAGTGTAATTCTAGTGAACGTTTGATCCCATATTGATTAGCTGGGTACTATCTTCAAGACAGAAAAGGGCCCAATACAGATGCAGATCATGGGAGCCTACAATATATATTAACATTTTTTTTAACTTCTCACCTTACATGTCACACACACAATAGAACCCAAATAATTTCAAAGTGTCATGGAACACTAAAAATAAAGAGTTGGATCCAGACTAAATTTTCCAATGGCAAAATATAACTTTCCTGCCTCTCCCCTCCTACGCACTACTGATCTCCAGGAAATGCTGTTCCTAGGTGTGCGCTTTAGGTATATCTAGTTGGCTTTCCTATACCAGATCATTTAACTCCTAGCCAGAGCTACACCTCAGTAATGCTGTAGGCTCATTCTGGGCATAGTACACAAGTAAATACTATTAAATAATCTTTGCTTCCATTCTGAGCTTTTTATTAAATCACAACTATTGTGCTTTTAACATAAAATAAATCCACAAAACATTATACCATCCATCCATCACTGTTATGTAGATAATTACAGGAGAAGAATTACATGAGTCCATAAAAAGTTTCTTTCACCAAAAGAAAGAAGGTCATAGGCAAGGAGCCCCTTCTGAGAACAAACTCTTGATCAGTACAGCTTCCCATATTTATAGGCTTTTAAAATCATCTCCTAACAATAGCTAACTGTAAGGGTGCACATTGTTGGCTAACTCATTATCTCATACCTTCAAACACCATATAAAATTATCTCTAATTAAAATATCTTCTTAAAATGTATTAAAATTTTAGTTTGTTCTTGGCTGCTTTTTATCTTAACAAAGACTATTTAACAAAGACTTAACAAAGACTATTAAGACTATCTTAACAAAGACTATTTATCTTAACAAAGACTATATAACAAAGACTTAACAAAGATAGTAATTAAAAGTTTCTCATACATATGAATATCTTTTGGTCCTCAACCAATACTGCCATCCTTGAACTGTATCTTCATTTCTGTGAAGTTGGACAGTTTTGTGTCTGGGCCTCAACAAATTTTATCTATTCATAATGGGGGGAGGCAGGGTTTTAGTGCCACACCTTCAGTCTCTCCTTGGAGTTGCTCCTGAAGGAGAACCAAACCGCCTGGTTTGTAGGTTATGGAATGTGCCGAAATGGACAGATTGGCAAATATACTAAAAGGAAAAATGGAATAAAAATTTATGGGAGCATGGAGGGTGTTCTATGACTGGTTAAAGCATAAATACTGAGAAACTAAGACTAAATAAAGAACAATAAGAAAGATGGTTATTATAGTTGTGAAACTTTTATGAGAAGATTTGCATGCAGAACGTCAAATTCGTTTGTATATATAAACTAATAAAACTATATATTTTTATACACACACACGTCTATGGCAGGAGTGTTCCAGGTTTTTTAATTTGTTTAACTGTTTTTCTGTTTTGTGCTTTATCAAAAACTGCATTATAATCTCCAATCAGGCAATGCTCTTAATATTCATAAGTTGCAAATTTCTGTTCAACCCTAAACTTATTTTTGCCTCTGAAGATGGTAGAATTTTGATGGTGGAAATTCAAACAGAGGGAAAGAAAATTCTAGTGACTAGTACCTATGCACCATTCGTGGTGCTGCTTTGGCCCCTTCTTCTTGATCTGTTTTAGATTCTCTCAAGCTATCCTTTGACTGAGTCTCTAAGTCTTCTTCTTTCTCTTTATTTGATTCCTCTTCTTTGGACTCTGTCCTGTGAAAGTCTCTTTCCATATTTCTTCAAAAAGTCTGCAGTATTGAGTTTATTCTGTGTCTCTGGCATTCATATGACCTTCTGGTAACAGCCTTCTATAAGATATATCATTGACTTTCAGTACTGATGTGAGGGAATCATATTCTTTCCTCTTCTGTCTCATCCTCCATGGTATCTCTTTCAAAATTTTAATCACAGTTCCTTTTATAGTAAGGTCTTTATCATTCTCCTCAGCACCTCATCTCGCACTGCTCTTTTAGTAAATTTCACGTGAACCTCTCTTGGTACTTTGTTCTTTCTAGCGTAGCTTGAATTTACTCTGTAAATCAGGTCTCTCTCTCTTTGGAGATCATCAATTTCAACCTCCATTTCTGATGCCAGTGATTGTGCTAGTAAAAGGGTCAAGTCCTCTTCCTTGTCCTCTAGGATATTCTGTGAGATTGATGCCGAAGAAGATTTTTTTAAGATGACTCAAGCAGTTTATATTCATCAGAGCGCCAAAGTGAGAATGAATGGAGACTTAACAAAAGAGTTAGCAATTGAGAAGGGAACAAGACAACGATGTCTGTTATCCCCATTATTATTATTATTTATCCTCACTGGAAGTATTAAACAATATGATCAGAGAAGATAAAAGTATTAGTGTTGGAAGTTAATCAGACAGCAGGAAGATCAGTGTGATCTAACTGACAGTTCAGTGACAGCTACCTGTCAGCAGGTGGGCAGATAAGCCTGTTCTAACCGGTTATAGCTGGCACTGGACAGTGTGCAGTCACCATGACTCAGCTTGTTGCTGATTGGTGCTGCTATGTATATATGTCTGTACAGAAGCCATGTACGTTCTCTTCGGAGGTAACAAGCGTCTGGCGAAGCACTTTGTCTGTAAATTCTGTGAATAAACCCTTGTATATAGTGTACCACTGGACTGTGCAGTGTGGTTACTATAGAGGGGCAGAACAGCAAAGAACTGGTAAGAGCTGGGAGGCTGGAAAGTCTGCTAAGGTGCTGAGTTGGCTTAGACTGGTTGTGGACCGTTACTCACGCTCTGCGCAACAATTAGAGGAACAACAATACGTGGTGAAGAATATTTGCGGATGATTTAGCTTTTATTTTAGAAGATCCTAGCACTTCTATAGACAGCTTGATGAAGAACTTAATGGAATTGGCAAGATGGCGGGAATGAAAGTGAACAAATAGAAGACAAAGATATAACACAACCTATAATAAAAGAGCTGGTTGAGAAGACAGGATTTCAATCAGAGCAAAGAGTGAAATACTTAGGCATTACCTTGACAAATAAATGGTAGTTCTTTGGTGGAAGACAATTATATGAAACTATTAAAAGAAATCCAAAAATATTTAGACAAATGGAATAACTTGCAGTTATCATTTATGGGAAGAATAGCCACAATTAAAACAGATATTCTTCCTAGACTTATTTTTATTTTTCAAACTATCCCAATTTTACAGAAGCAATCATATTTCCATGAATCCAGTTATAATACTGATGATGTAAAGTTAAAAATGTAACATTTGTTGTAGGAATTCTAATGGAGAAGATTGTAGTGTAAAAAGTGAAGTGAGACAAACTTACTTTTTTCTCTCTACTGAAGTACCTCTCTGTAGACTGCTGGGGCAGGCTCCCTCATGGCTTTAAGCACCATGCAACCACTGCTGCACCTGATAGACAACCACCTGTTAGAAGTAGGAAGTGAGGGGAGTGTGTTGGAAGCCATCAGAGAGGCTGGACCAGCAGCATCGCTAAGGTGACCCTGCTGGGGTGGCGTACCTGATGGATTAATGTACCCTGGTCCTGCTCCTACACCTGACAGACACCTGCCTGTCTGGTGTTGGGGGAGTATGTTTAAAGGCATCAGGGAGGCTGGGCCAGCAGCATGGCTAAGGCAATCTTGCTGAGCAAACCTCCCCAGTGGCTGTAAGCATCTCACCTCCTCTCCTACACCTGACAGGCAGCTGCTTCTCCAGTGTAGGAGGAGGAGGGGGAGGAGTATTAGAAGCCACTGTGGAGGCGGGGCTGGCAGGATCACTAAGGCATTACTGCTGGGGCAGCTCCCTCATGGCTTTAAGCACCCTGCAACCACTGCTGCACCTGACAGACAACCACCTGTTTGGTGTAGGAGGTGGGGGAGTGTGTTGGAAGCCATCAGAGAGGCTGGGCCAGCAGCTTTGCTTCACCTCACAGGCGGTTGGTCACTCCTAATTTCCTCGACTGTCATTAGCTCTCTGTAGTCCCCTGTAACTGTTCTTTTTACCTCAGAACACAGAGCTCTGCAGCTGACCAATCAGAGAGTGGGGGGTGCAAGGAGGCAGCAGCCTGGCAGTCACATAGGAATCAATGGCGGAGGGGTTTTCCGGTTTGTGGATCAGCGATGGTGGTCGCTCTCCCTGGACCTCAGGGGAGTGACTTGCACACCAGCAGTATGGGGGGGGGTTGCTACTTCAAGTAGCACTCACATGGAGCCTTTGCGAAGGGCTCCAGGCCATAGGGCTTTTGAGGGGCAGCCTCTTTGACGACTAAATGCCAGAGAATTGAGGCTTCCCTTCACCCTGACGGTCCTGCCACTGTGTGGTCTTCGGGCACAAGCTGTTTCGACTGGGACAAGCGCTGGAGATCGAGCGGAATATCATTTACTATGAGCGAAGTCAGAGAAATGACCGACAATGAACATGAGTTCAAAATAAACGGAACATTTTAAAAGTGAACTACCCCACCCCCATGGGAAAAGCGGAGCGCAAAGAGGGATACCTCTTATGTGAATGGACAGGTAAGCATAACGAAGGGGGCAGGGGAAAAATAAACAGCGATTTTGTGTGGAGAGACTTACTTGAGCGCTGACAGCAAGGTGACGATTGTGTGAGTCCGTCTGAAGCGGTTTGGAATTGTAAACAATCGTATAAAATGGTGGCCTCGCAAAGAAAGTTTAAAGCAAAACCGGCGGGTAGTCAGAGCCCAAAACCGGAAGAGGGAGCAGACGTCATGAAAATGTTAGCAGATATGCTCACGCCGGTGATGGAGCAACTCGATGGTATTAACCAGCAACTGACCTCGCTGAATCAAAACTTTGCATCCCAGCAGCTACAACTGGCAGAAACGGCGAAGAAGGTGGAACAAACAACTGTGAGAATTAAAGAGACACCACAAACAAGAAAATGAAGCAAAGAATGGGGGAAGTTGAAGCAAAACAAATCTTCCAAGAAAACTGTTTGCT